TGTCGTTATTTGTTGTCACGAATCAATAACTCTCACAATGTTAATAAGTTGACTTGCCTTGTAGTTCTAAGTTTATTCATCTGCTTCTCAAAATGTATTATGTGATTTGATTACTTTTTGTATTGTCTTGTTATTTTATTGGTATGGTGGCTTTGAAAAGGTGTTTCATGCCAGAAACACCTGTTTCGCCATGCCACCCACAGTGCATATTTGACGTGGTAAAACCTAATAAATAAATAAATAATAAACAGTTACAAAACACAAACCATAGTCAGCCAGTACTAACAGATCGCTCAGTACAAGCTATATTACACCAGACGAATATAATCTCAAATTTTGGACATTGCGATGGCCATCTAGCCGACACAAGGATGATCTCTCAGTGACCAGTGACGTTTGGTCGATCACAAACATTGGCTTTAAATGATTTCCGCCGTATGCGATGAAGGCCTGAAACAATAGACCTCAATCTCACTTTGCCTTTTATTGTTCTTCTAGTTCCTCGTTGCAACAACGGCTACAGGCTACTCGTCGGGACCTGCATCAAGCTCGTGGTTCCAACAGGCTGGTTCGGGATCCCGATCGGGAAGTCCCATGATGAAGCCAAGAAGACATGCAAGAATGAAGGAGCCACACTGGCCATGCCGAAAACGGAAGAACTGGACGTCGCTCTGAGAGATCTGATCAAAACGGAAGGAGGCAACAAAGGATACTGGATCGGTATGGAAGAGAAAGAGGGAAGCTGGTATTGGGTGGACGGGTCGAAGGTCGGCCACAACGGGTACAAGGTATGTTGGTACGACGTGTTCATCTCTGATAGAGAAGATAAAAAAATTACCTGAACCATCCAGAATCTACGAGGCATAAATCATACTAAAAACTGTTCAGAAACCATTGCCAGTATTCATTTCATACTTTATAGATGGTAATGGAGAATGCAGGAAATAGACCTTGATGTGTGTATAAGCCCAGTACATTGACAAGTGCAGGTTAGGTGCAGGTAGACATTAGAAATACCCACATAGCTACAATTTTGAATCCTAAGGTTCATATGCACCCAGTATTTCGAGCCGTGATCCTAGCCTGGTTACCAAACCTATTATAGCTTCTGAGGCCTACATCCTCTCCGCAAATATTTGCGGAGAGGATGTATAGATAGGACGCGGCAGCTATAATAGGTTTGGTTTCCAGGCTACCCTGATCCTCTTGCTCCTTATAAGTAACACATACATAAGTAATGTGACCATTGAAGTGTATGCATTATAAATTATTACAATATAGCCGGGTGACGTTGACCAATCAGAAGGCTCCATTCCACATGTCTTATGGCGTCGTAATGTCACAAATAGTCAAAACCGGGTCTTTATTCATGCCAATCTATTCATTGAACAACCCTCGGGTGACCAAAACTCAACTCTAAAAAATTAAAAAATAACTTGAGTTGTGTCCCAATGACTTTGAGTGACTCCCATCAGAACACCTATTCCCTGCCTGTGACCCAAATAGAACATGCCCCCTTCCGATATGTTCCGTCCAGTGAACTCATATAAACCCGGTGGAACTGGTAGAACGATTACACCGTAAGGGCATACAATGGACAACGCGATGTAAGAATAATCTTTATGATAAAAGCGTTAATGGCCCGCCCTTTCTCGGTGAATATGGTGTGATAAAGCCTTGTCATTTGCTAAACCACCTCATCAAGCCACCTCGTTCGCTGTGCTCACTTGCTGGCTTCATTCGGTGGTTATAGCAACTGAAAAGGCTTTATCACACCATATTCACCTCGGGGCGGGTCATTAACCCTTGATTAAATCATATTTAAAATTATCGACATCTATTTAAATAGCTCCGTACGCAAATACGGTGGCATTTTAAAAGTCTATTTTTTTGGATAGGGATGGAATCCAGACGAGCCAAGTAATAACTCCCGTTGGCTGGACGACTTATGTGGACTGTACTGGGAAAAGGTCAGTAATTTGTGCAAGTGAAAAAAGTCTAGCTTTAGTTGATAGAAATACCCTCTATCATTTGTTAAACCAAATTTAAAACTAGAAAGGCATATATTTGTTCGGGAGCAAATATAGCACACACGGGCTGGGCGCGGGAAAGCGCACGACACGAAAATGAAGTCTCACTCATTCATTCATTCATATAGCATATTTCATTCCCTCCTCTCATTCCTAAATAGACTGTATTCGCTAATTTCTCCTGTAGTGCCTTTCGATATTAGGCTTTTTAAAGCCCCCATGTAATTCTCTAAACCCCCTTCAAGTACTTCTCGAAATCCCCGTATATATAGTGCTTTCAACAATCACCCCATTATTACCACAAAATTTCGTATTCTGATAGAATCTGTGCCACCCTTCTTGAAACACAAGCAACTCTGTATCTGCTCGAAGATTACCTATAGCTAGTACCTACCCATGTTACTCTACACAGGTATCCTCTTGCACTCATTTGTAAAAAAAAAGAAGTTGAATCAATTTAAAGCAGAAGGAAGAGGAAAATAAACATGAAGAAAAATAACATTATTGAAGTTAGAATTTTTCTTGCGAAATATCGGTGTTTTAGACCTGTAGGTTACAGTTAATTTTTCTCTTCTTAAGGTATCCAGCTGGCTTTTCACACAGTCTGGATATCCAATGTGGGACGACGAGGCTTGCTTCAATCTGAGGAGGTTCATCTGTCAGCGTCCTCCGGCCTAAATGGAGAGATTCAAGATACATTCTGCCTAACATTGCAGTATATAAAACTCAACATGCATTTCAATTTTTTAGCATAGCAAGGGATTTAAAGCTACAGTGAGTTTGAGAAAGAACTGAAAAAGCTTTTACATGTTGTGAAGCCAAGGGGTAAACCAGGCCTTTGATGGGTGACGCCAAGGTACGGAAATGCCTCACGTTGAGCCCATGCAAACTGGCGTTAGATGTTAATAATTACATAACATTAATATTATAAATAGTATGCTTACATGCAAGACTTTTTGAAAAAGTGCATAGTGGCTCATGCAATGTTATGTAAAGTTTAGCCTTTTTATGACTGCCTAAAACAACATTTCAAAGAAGTGCTGTACCCGGATTTTAACATGTGTTCTAATAATTCTAATGATTATCTTGCATACTGTTTTATCTTCAAAAGGAAATGATGGCATTAGAAATTCAATTATTGTAGTTTATACATCTACCTTACATCTGATATTAGGTTTATTGCAAAGTCTTGTCCGAGGGTTAACATTCAAAAAGGACGTACTACTGTCTGTCAGTATTAAAAGACAATGACTTAACTGCGCAGAGAATAGAATCGCTTAGTTTTAAATTATACAACTCAAATTTGAGCCTAAAATCAACATGAAAAAAGGACTTACAATAAAACAAATACAAATGTAACATTTAACTATGATAGTCTTAAAGCAGGAACTAAATTTTTAACATGTATATGGCTTATTTTTTTGAAGCAGCGGAAGACAAAAGATCCCAATTTGTCTATAATGTGTGTATTTTCTGATGTTATTAGGAGACTAGTTTTCTTTTGTAAATTATAAAAATTAAAATGGCATTTTTTTCAATTCTGAATCATAAAGGAGAGGCAAGTACAATAATTGGTGGTTCTAGTCCAGAGAACAGAAAACTTTTGAAAGGCCAAAACTGTAAAAATAGTGACATATAGTGACGTATACATCTGTAAGTAGGTCGTATAGATGCACGCAAAATAGGAGGTACTTTTCTAGATGTAAAAGTCAAGGCAAAGGCTGGTTTCTTGAAACAATATTAGTTCGGATGCAAACAATAAAATTACGCACGCAAGTTTTTGTGACAAGTTCGAATTCTTTCTTCCCGTGGCATACTACAATCTACATTTTTGTAGCTGTGGTTAGTTGCTGACTTAGAATCTAAAGGTTTCACGACATGGCAGGGAAAAAAGGAGAAATAGAAGGGAAAACAATTCTTTTTATTGATATAAATATAGTATGAAGTGACATATAAATAAGAATGCAACAATTGGATAGCTATCCCCTACATTATTGGTAAGGATTTATTTGCATAATGCTAACTGTTGATTTTCAACAGTTGTAAACCTTTCACCTAATATATGACAGGTTGAGACAGGGTGTCAATATTTTACAGATTGCTTTATTCAGAAGACGTCATGTATATTTTTCTACCCTGAAATGTGATGACTTCCATGACTCTAAACTATCCCATTGAAACAAAATGCACACAGTCACAAGTACAAGAACGATAATAATTAGATTTATTTGTTTTATTTTAAGCTCTAAATGTTAGTTTCCAATCCCAGTCTCTATACCTTTCAATATTGCAATAAGCAACATTTTAATCAAAGTCAGCGAATGTGTTTAAAAGTATTTGGTATCATAACATTATGGAATAATGAATGAGATGTTTGCTACATTTATTATCATAAACATAAACCATAACACCCAGGATTTCACCTTAGACAAGAAAGAATAGCGTGATCACAATAACAGTGCCTAATCTTTCACCCTGTTATTGAACATTGCCACTAACCTCCCGTCACAAAACATTAGAAGTTGATATACATGCAAACATTCAGAACCTGAACACTGGCCGTCCGATGTCGGCTGACATTCGGCAGCAGCTTAACCAGAATTGAAACCCACGTCTACCTTTTATACAAATCGAGTCGAATCTTAGTCAAAATTAAGTCAAATTTCACTACACCCCTTACCCACAAAAAGACAACTGGTTTAGAAAAACTGTAAGGTCATGTCACAAACCTGTTTGTAAGTTTGGTCAAAGTACCTACCTAGTTGCAATTTACTTGCATATACAATGCCTCTTCATATATCTTTTATGATCACAGTAACATAGTTAGTATGTATTGTTATCTTATCTATTCTACCTTGTTATTATTAAGCGTTGCATATGTGTCTGTTGTGATTTATTTTTGTAATGTTAGATGGCAACATTTACATGAGCTTTAGCTTGAGCATGTCGCTATCTTCCTCGTCCTTTTTGTCATTAAATGTTGTAATAATAAAAAAAGACAACCATGACCGACCCTCCCGTTCACCCACGAATGTTTGGATCAGGAGAATTTGGGCTGAATCTCCGCGGGAACCTCGTCGCTAGAAGAAATAGGCCGGATACGGAGAAACTTCCACAGAACTTGAGTAACAATCCTTCGGTAGAGCAAGGGGAAATCCTCCCTGCAGATCTGGTAGAAAAAGAGTCCACTTTTTAGTAAATCCCTGTAAGGCCATGTTGATTTGATTATATGGATGACATCTTCCGGGAGCCCCAAAACTGATGCGCGCGTGCGAATTAAAAAAAGTTTTGAAAAAAGTTGTTTTTATTATGAAATCTACGTGGTCATGAGGGTTGAACAAATGGGACAGAATATGGTTTGGCGAATAATCTAGTCTTCAAGTTCATTTCTTTACAATTTCGTCTTTTTTCGTTTGATTTTGGCATTCTACGACATTGCTATGGTTTTTTGTACCTTACGGTATATTTTTGCTCATTTTGCAACTGTTTTGTACAATTTACAGTATGGTTGAAAACTTTTTTTTTTGAAACGGCCGAAAATTCATGCGCGCGCGGATGTCATCCATATAATCAAATCAACATGGCCTAACCATACCAGTAGAAACTAATCAATATCTCTGATAACGTTTTTTTTTATTTTTTTTGCTTCAACATTCCAAGAAAACAATACGTAGTGATGGAATAGTAATCACTCAGGCATAATAAAAATTACAGCTCGAGACCAAAATATCAAATTGGGTAACGCTCAATATGAAATATCAGAATTAAACGATTAAGAACATTTTATTTTCATATAATATGCACCAGTGATTAATGTTAATTTGAAATAATTAGAACTGTGTGATAGCGATATTTTGAGTGTTGATTTTGTATAACATAGAGGTGAACAAATTTTTAAAGTAACAGATATACGTATAGCGTTATCAGATAGATTATTAATATCTACTGGTATTGCATACAAATCCATGCATCTCTATGCTTCAATGCACGTACTGCGGGTTGTGACCGAGGCTCATTACCGCGTAGGCCATGTTGATTTTATCACATGGATGGCATTATCTGGGAACCCTAAAACTCATGCGAGAGTGCAAATAAAATTTTTGCAAGACCGTTGCCTTAATTATAAAATCAAGGTGGTTATAAACCTTTAACAAATAACTTAACACAAGTGTTACTGGTATGGTTAATAATAGACTCTTCATTTTCATTCATTTTCATTTTCTTCTTGTCCTTTAGAATGGATTTTGGGTGGAGTCATCGACAGCTTTGAGTTAAGTGAAAGAAGAAACAAGTTCTAAAATTTGCACATTTATTTCCTTTGTATTATTATGGGTTCACCACACCACGAAGTGGTGGTGAACCCATATTGCTTTTTCTGATGTTTCTTCTCCTCCTCCTTCTCCTCCTTCTCCTCCTGCCATATCTTTAAATGTATTCAGCTTCTTCATTTTAGGGCCTAAGGTCCTGAAATTTGGTATGGAGGTACAGTGGGCAAATACCCCTAGGCGTTTTTTAACTTTTGTGATACAGGCTTTTAGAATGGTTTTATTTGAGTTTTTTGGCTGTGTTATAGCAAATGTATTACTGTGTTAGTGTGCCGTGTTTACCACGTCTGGGCATGAGTCATCACAATGGAATGCAGGGCATCAACCAATAGGCATGCAGCTTTCCTCTATACTTCTTGCTGATTGGCTGTTGGGATTTAACTTGATTAACACCCGCACAGAGCATTTCCACCTGCACAGAGCATTTCTTGCTGATTGGCTGTTGGGATTTAACTTGATTAACACCTGCACAGAGCATTTCCATACTGACAGTATGTCTTTATTCAAGTGTTTTGGTAGGTATTTCAAGCTTTTCTGCTCCAGCATTGGAATGCGGGGCATGAACGTTTTTTATTTTATTTTGAAAATCAACAGTTTGCATCATGCAATTAAAAATCCTAACCAATAAAGTAGGGAATAGCTATCCAACTGTTGTTTTAGTTGTATGTTACTTCATCTTATAGTTATATCAATGTAATTTACTAAATCATTGTTTTCCCTTGTGTTTCTCATTCTTTCCCTGCCATGTGGTAAAATGTGGTGAACCCATCGCTGTATTTGCTCCAAAGCAAATATTAGCCTTTCTAGTTTTGTATAATTTTTCATTATGTATGTGCTAATAAAATTTTAAAAAATTTTTTTTAAATCCCTCACCTCCTCATAGTCGCTGGTTTTCATGCTGGTTCCAGAGAAAAGTCTCACCGGCACTTCTCTCTCCAGTAATTCTTCCACGTCCAAGTTCTTAATCCCCAGAGTACGTACGGTCACCTCCTCTAGATCTGATGGAGGAAACAAGTCGGTTATTATCGGATAGAAGATCATACCAAACATTATCATACAGTCAGATGACATCGACAAATCAGAAGGCTCCATTTCACCCCAAACCCATGTCATTAATATCCGATATACTGACCGCTCAGTTTGAATGACGTTAGAACAGAGATAGACGTTACCATTACATGACAGGGTGGTATTTCTTCTTCTAACCTACTTCTTATTATGAAGAACTTTCTGATACACTCAATTAGAACAGTAACTAAAATTAGTTATGATAAAACTAAATACATTATTTAAATCAGCGGTAAATTTAGGAAAATCATTTATAAATCTTACTTGACCCTCCTATTCTAGACTTGGAACAACCCTAAATAGACAATATTTTAAAAAACGGCCGCCATTTGGGCCGACTGCCCCCCCCCCCGTTACGTTACTTTTGCTGCTAACATAAAAATAAAGGACCGCGGACTCGATCGTTTATTCGGTGGTTATAGGTTATATATGATTATTTTTGTTTTATGAAGAAACCTTAGACAAGACTGTAAGGTTTGAACCACTCACACCGGGAAGGTCCCCTACTCCTTTCGATAAGTGTGTCGGGTACTTTTATAACGTGCGTGGGGTGTGACTGCCCCATACACGGGGCCCCCATTTAACGTCCTATCCCAGGGACACCCCTAGCGGAAGCTAGGTACTCATTTACACCTGAGTGAAGTAAGTTCATGTTAAGTACCTTTCCCAAGGGCACAAGATCGGTGACACTGGGCAGGATTCGAACCCGGGACCTAGGACCGGTCATTAACCCTATATTGAATACATACATGTAGCTGATTAGAAAAATCGAGAGGTCCCAAGTTCGAATCCTGCCATGCCACCGATCTTGTGCCCTTAGGAAATGCACTTTATACAAATTTCCTTACTTTACTAAGGGGAAAATGAGTTCGTCTGTTGTCTGTACATACGTTTGTTTGCGTTAGCAGCGACTTTAAGATAAGTTTAAAAAAAACTTGGGTTTCTGTCCCCACGTCTTGTAATACATGTTGGATCAGAAAAAAATGGTGCGTTCTCTTGTGAAATCAAGAAAGGCGATATAGGAGACTGCATGTGTCAGGGAAGAATCAATATTGCTCCTCAAACCCAGTGGAAAATCGAACATTAAAGATTTTAGAAACCTCTTATTTACTGTCGTGTCCAAAAAACCCTTGATTTTCCTCACTTTCCTAGAAGGTTTAAAATCTTGCTTTTTCCGTAATTACTGAAATAATAATAAAAAAGAACCCACATAGAAGAAGTATGTAAATTCATCTTCCATTCCCTCAAAAGAAGCCTAACCCACCAAAACTAGCACCGCGTTTGTTGTAGAATGAAAAATAAAGTTGGACTCATATATCATTATATTTTCATTATTTCATACATGTTGTAAGCGTAGTGTGGCAATAAATGTAATAAAGTTTGTCATTCATACACAATAATAAATGAAATACCTACATTGTACGTTTTTGCCCTTATAAGTCACGGATTGATTACTGTGAAAGAAAGTTCTAATTATACACACAGTGACCATTTATTGCATATATAATAAAATACTACATGTACATATCAGTTCTCAAAACCTCTTGAGCACAGTAAGCAAGATTCATCTTATATAGCCAAGAACAGTTGTTTTTAAAGAGTAAGGAAACTCACTAGGATTCTCTGCCAGCTGCTGGATACTGTGGATGTAGCTGACTGAACCGATCATGTCCTCCTGTAAAATTAACATGGCAGTCAAACTTACCAGTCACAAGGCTTATTGCAATAGTACTACTACCGAGCAATTTTGGCCTATTACCATAGAGCTAAATGAACGCCAGGGCTGGAGAACTTTTGGGGCTGCATCACCCGCTTACTGCCTGATACCGGACAAAGTGTTTGATATACATGGATCATAAGACAAGCCATCCCCTCCTTTGATGTACTCGAAGCAGGAATTTAGGTTTCAGCTAATTCTCTTGTAGTTTTGTACTGGAATCGTTCGAAGTCCAGCCGCCACGCCACGTCGAGAGTTCGAGGCAGTTTTATTTTCCTTCCGCGAAAGAAAGTAGTCCGTTCCATGATTTCGGGGGCCGACACGCCTTACCTGAAAGCTTGTAGCTGAGGTCTGCAATCATTTATCTTCCTAATTTTGACTTATTGATAATGTGTAAGCTTCA